TGAATACAGATCTAAGGTTGGTCTCTTTTTAAAGAAGACAATCTGCTGATTATTGCAGAAGTGAAATCATTTCAAAAAATGAAAGTATAACAAAAGTTATAGAAGTTTAAATTTACTGTAAAGAAAATGTACTGTACTTTTTTAATTTTATATAAAATAAATATTTTATAAAATATGTTTTAATCCAAAATTGCTATAAAATTAAAGCCACATGTCTAAATAAGTTGTGTTCCAAATTTGAAGTTGATATTAAAAAAATTTAGGTTCCTACGCAATTTTGTTTAGGCGTTATACCACAAACAGCCACCGGGTGCCCTCCAAACTCCATTTAATTTTTTTGATGCATTTTTCTGTCACAAATGTATCAATTTCTCTCTCAATATTACTCCTATCGCAAAATAACCACCAATCTTGAATCTTGAGACTCAGACATTTACAACGATATGTATTTTGTCAAGATTATGAAAAGTTTTGATTCTAAAAGACCGTAATACATTTGGAATATGACACCTCCCACTAAGGGGGAGGAGCCCGCTAAAAGATTGTAAAGTACGATTTCCATGGTAACGCAGTGTCCGATTTCAAAATGGTTTTCACAGGATGAATTTGGAAGTTTTAAGCTTTCAAATGATATATAATTTATGATGATTACTAAAACATGTGATGGGGAAAAAGGAAATGAAGAAGAATTTTTGTGACAAAGGTCAGAACTCCTGTTATGATGTATATGTTTTGAGGTGCACTCGTCATAAATTAATCTATTACTGTTCCTACATAATTTTTAACAACAAACAGTGGTAAAATATCTATTTAGGAGTCTTAGACATTTCCAACGATATATAGTTTGTCATGATTAGATTAGGATTTAATTGTAATATATTGAAGTAAACTTAGTCGTCCCGTATACGGGACGGTGACAGTTAAGGGGCTAAAATAAAATGTAGTTCAACTGCTAGCTACACTCTAAACAAACCGTTTTAGCAGTTTATGCAAACTTTGTAATGCCAGACCTCTTGCAACCTTAAGATCTGTGATTATTCCACATACTGAAATCATTTAACAGGGGTTAATGTCATGTGGAAAAAGAAGATCAATCTAATTATTACTGTAAATAGCTGCACGTATTTCAGAAAGAAGAAAAAAAGAAGGAAACTTTGGAAAAACGTATTTGTCTGTGAAAGACCCTCAGTCAGAGTAGATGCCATATTGCCATATTTTTATTTGAATGAAAATTATGCTGTGAGAGACAAGCTTACAGTCTTTTCAATAGCATAGGCTGTATAAAGGTCCATCACATAGAATTTTCATGTTGTTAAACAACAGTACTTCTGCCCCTCACAGCCTCATTTTCATGCCTATAAAAAACAAAATATGGCGACACCCTGTCTAAGTTAAAAAAATATATATATATTTCTGTCTCTAGAGTTTTGCAGGAATATTAAAATATGATCTGAACTGTTATGGTCCACTTTATTTGTAGCTTTTGCAAATGTGACCCTAATAATATCCAAGATATTAGATATTAACTAAGTCAACCTTCTGTTGGAAAACAAACATTAAGGAAATAAATAAGGCTGCAAAGCTCTAACTCTTACATTGGATTTGATCCGAGTCTGTGAGTGGATCCTAAATTGTGAAAATTAATGTTTAAATGAGGGTAAGATCATAACAGTATTGTAGTCTTGAATTATGAAACCTCAAACAATCATTTGCCCTGCCACAAGCTGCAAAGAATCCCAATTCAAATGAAATGTTTGCATGTTCAGACGTGAACTGAACTATGAGGACAATCCTTAGATACTACGTCATTTCCCGTGATACCCTTCATCAGTGAATTTTTTTAGCTATTGCTCTAAAGGTTTTCCAAAAACAAAATCATTGATGCCATTTTTCCATTGCACACAGAGAAAAACAAAGTCTAGAAGATAATAAAATTATATGATTCAACCACTAAATGATTGTTGTTCAGACTCAAGCCTACATTACCCTACCTATAAGTAATATCTAGTTTAAAACCATAAGTGAAATATGGCATTGATTTGTGAAACAATCCGTTTCTGTACAAATCACTCTCATTCATTTCCATGCACTGAAGTCTCTCAGACTGAATTAGAGTGTGACAGTTTGTGAACAGATAAAATCAACTACCACAACACCTACATTAACAAAAACAATGTTTGCTCAGTTTGTCATGTAAGTCAATCCTGCAAAAAAGCAAAGACAGAGGACGGAATAAATCTGAATGTGTAAAAGTTACTGATAACCATGCAGAATTGAAGTCACCTAAAGAGATTACTTGAAGGTGAAAGTCACCACTGGAGACATGACTAGAGAAAACAGAAAAAGGTTTATTAAGGCATTTCTTTTTGCCAAAACGGTAGCAAAACTTTAACATCCATAATGCACTAAGCTTAATCGAAGCCAGATAACGCATTTTACAGCATCAAGAGAACTTTTACTGATAAATAAATGGGGATATCCTGGTGCAGGTAACACAGAGAAAAATATATTTTTCATATACATATACTACCTACATTTAGACTACTACTACCATTGCAACAATTCAAAGCTGGTTGAAAGTCTGTGACTTACTCATTAAACTTTGTATTTACTTAGACTATCATTCTGACTGTATAGTTTGATAAAACTTGTGCAGTTTAAAACTTTGTTTCAGTCAACCAAGTGTTTTTTAACGAATCAGATGAGTGAGTGATTCGGTGACTCGTTCATAACACGTCAAATGATTCGTATCCACCCACTGCTGTAACGATGCAACGTGCTGAAAGCGCTCCGAATGAATCAGCAAGAGAATCATTTAGTGCATTGATTCAAAAGATTCAGCTTACTGGTATGAATCACAATTCTCTGCACTAAAGTGATAGACTTTACATTTCAAGCTTAGACAATCAGTGGTCTGGCAGCTGTCGGCTAGTGAAATAGATCACTGAAACGGTATTAGTACCAGAAACAATTAACCGCCTTCACAGTAGCAAAGTAACTAACTCTTCATAAAAAGTCGGTTTCACTCAAGCCAGGGGGGAAAATAAATAGTAGCGCGTGATACAAAGACGCTTTTTACCAGAGCTAGAGTCACTAAGCGTGACGTTTGACCTTCATTGAGGCGTTTATGGTGATTGGTTTTCTTATTTCTTATAATAAAAACAACACTTCTAGGTGAGAGAGAGAGAGACAGAGCTTCATTGTGGGCTAGATTTGACTGTTTGAAAACTGTTTTTCAAACAGTCTCGTCTAGATTACAGATCTATGTACAGACAGTAAAGTTATATTGGCAGTGCACAGTCGTTTGATGCTCAACTTATGTAATCTTGATAAGTAATGCGGTTCAGCAGAGAGAAAGAATGAGGATGTCGATGCTTCGTGTAAAATTAAAGTAAAAACAACAACTCGCTTGGCTGTTCAGAAAAGTTGTCCAGGTGATCCCGCTCTGTAGTGCCCTACACATACAGTATTATAATGCGGAAGTTGTAAACCATGCCGATGCAAACTTGAGCATTGAAGAATGGGCAATTGTATAAAACATCAAAATAAATTGATTGACACTCTCTTTGAATTAAAGCATTTGCATTCAATGAAAATGAGTAGCTTTCTTGTAACACAATGAGCATCACGTTTCAGAAGAACGCCTGAAGAAAACGCATTAATACTTACACCCATATCTAGGACGGAAACCGTCTGTCTCGTCAGAAGTTGACATGTTTTCTCAAAAGTTTTACAAGTCTTATTTCCTTGTGAGTTCTCGATGCAGATCTTTGTCCTTTAGGATTTATATTTAGACCTCGAGAAGGCACCTCTGGCCCCCTTCTTACTTCGCTGCACAGTTTCAGCTACTTTTTTTCTTCTTGAAAACCCACTGATGTCATGGGCGTGTTCCTTCCTAAATCCTGAAGTATGCGTTTCAGGAAACACCCATTTCAAGAATATCAGTTCAAAACTTTTAACTGTGCCTGCAGCGCCCTCTACTGCCCACATAGGTCATAGTCTGCCACAGCACTTCGTGATTCTCCAGCAGGGGGCCTCACAATAATTATTAATTTATATAATATTTGTATTTAAAATGATTTATATTAAAAATTATTAAACTTAATAAAAATAAAAACAAATAAACATGTACAGAATATAAATCACATTATATTTAAATGTCATTTAATTGTAATTTTATTTGTAACTTTTTTAATCACAAAATTAATCATAATTAAGTAGTGTTATATTTTATTGACGCTACTTTTGTTAATAAACAAATATAAAACAAGAGGAAATGTATCTATATACCGTTTAGACTCTTTAGCCTATAAAAGTAGCCAGTGGTGGCCAAAATTATTAGAACACTATTTTCACCAGCTAAAAATGATTTTAAGTCAGTTATTTCTATCTTTTGCTGTAGTGTGTCAGTAGGAAATATCAGTTTACATTTCCAAACATTCATTTTACCATTGATTATAATAATCCAGTGAGATTTTTGTCTGACAACAGCCAGTGCTCCACACAGAGATCTGATCTGATCATCATCAGTCTGTCTGGAGTGACATGAAGAAACAGAACAAACTGAGACAGACTCAATCCAGAAGAACTGTGGCAACATCTCCAAGACGCTTCAAGACCATCCGGCACCAGTGTGAGCTTCATTTAACTTTAATGAATAGGCTAAATCACGATAGGCCTTTATTAAGGGGTAAGTCGTGTCAATATGGGCTAAATGTCAAAATGGGAATATTGCCCCACCCCCTTTCCTTGTATAATACATGAAATGTTATTTTGCTATTCTATTCTATTCTATTCTATTCATGTTAGTACATCTACAGCTGCAGTATGCCTGCAAAGGTACAGTATATGAGAGTATGCAGGAGAATTACCTATTGAACATGCAATAACCTGCTTGTTTGTGCTCCAGTCTCAGCGTCAGGAAAATAAATAGGCTATCCTTTACCCAATAGCTGACCCGATATAATCCGTTAACCGAAGTCAGGGCGGGGCATATCAGTTTATAAAACAGCCAGCGAACTGTTAATCCGTGTTTACTAAATTACCCGTCCCTCCACACCTCAGTGTGCTGTGACTGTGACCCGGCAGCTGACTGACTCGGGACCATGAAGAGCTCAGAGATCCTGACCGGACTGATCATAGTCGGACTCTTCACCGTCATGTGTTCTGGACAAACTTCCCAAGAACTCACAGATGACACACAGCTGTCCCAGCAGGAAACGGAGAACGAATTGGTGAGTAGGCTACCAAATAAAACGTCTTTTTATATTTGTTTATTTTTCGCGTGATATAGTGAGACATATTTGACCATTTATCTGTAAACCAAACACTGAATAATTGGTTGGTGAAGTGTTAAACTTGTTTGTGTTTACATGTAGGCTATATTTTAATATATTTTTTATTCATATCTTAAATAAAAAATATGTTTCATATTCAGTTGCTTATGGATACTTATGTTTTTGCATAGGTTGAGGCTATGACAGCACTTTTGGGAAGATATCAGCCTCATGTACCATCTTCAGAAAAACGTAGCATTCCACAGGTAAATTTTGCTCCACCTCTTTGATATCCTCATTTTCTTCATCTTCTGATCTTTCTTTCTCTCTCTCTCTCTCTCTTTCTCTCTCTCTCTCTTCAGTGTGCTGTGGGGTCCCGCTGCGCCATGAGACTGGGTCCACGCTTTGGGAAATTGTGTGAATGTGTCAGAGGATCTAACTGTAACTCATTTCTCTTAAAATGCATCTGAGTCATTAAAAAAAGCCGCAAATCCATAATCCTTTCCTGAAGCTGTAAAGTCATGCACCTGAAAGAGGCAGTGGGTGGAAATCTGTTTTCTGAATCACTTGTGCAAGGTGATAAGCATTCATCAAAATGCAGCGTGACAAACAATAGCAAAGCATGGGTTTAATGCGTTTATTCATTAATATTTTTAACGGTTGTCTTGTGTTATCAATAAACATGGATATTCTTCATCTTATTGTCCTCATGAATTATCCATAATACACCCCTAACAAACAAAAACGAATATTAGTATCAGTATTTACCAGTTCTGAAATAGCTTGGAAAATAGCATTTGAAAAGTTAGATTCAGCAAATATTCAAACTGAACACAAGCAGCTGGTTTATAAATTGAGGATGAAAATGGAATGGATTGTAATTTTCTTCCATAGTGACTCAATAATGATTTATGTTTATGTCTTCACCCACATATAAATTAGAGAGATGTATAAATTTAAATTAAAAATTTGTATAAGAGTTTATTTTTTTTTTTAGTGGTTACGTGAGTTCCAGTGAAATCTTTTATTCATCTATCTTTTATTTATATATATATATATATATAGCTCTACACACACACACCTTAGACAAGGATGTTCAGCCAGCAGAGGTGTTTCTCTTCAGACAGTGATAGGGGGTGGGGCTATACAAATTGGCTAAATGCATTATGGGCAATGTAATTCGTATTCTCACTGTGAGCTAGATTGGAACATGCAAGCGAAATATATGCAATAATTTAGTCTACAGAAAATGAGAAGTATAAATTGCAAAATGTGAATCACTGGCTACAGATGCACATCAGAAGTCAATGAACTAGAAAATTACTAATTTAAAGACCCTGTAGTTACTTTACCCTGTAAAGTATTCCTTTAGGAATAATAGTGATATTTATCCTGAATGCTTTCTGCCAAGACAATAAAATGATGTTAGTAGTTCACAGAATGTAATGTTCACAGAATTTCAGTTCATGAGGGCATCCAGACCTTAACGTTTGGGTTTAGTTTCTCTTGATTACAGTTAATCATGGTAAAACCCAGGGGTTCAGTATAGTTGGTGCAATCTAGGCTCTGTCCCAATTGATCTAGAGAAACAACAATGCCCTCTGAGGTACAATAAAAAGCATATTGTTAGGCAGGTACAACATATCAGACAAGATGGTATACCATCTGAGACTTTCCTTTTTCTTACATTCTCCTGCTGAAATATACAAAATAAGTTTTCTCTGCTGACACCTGTCACCATAAAGCCTACAACATATTAAATGTTGAACTTGGGGATATTCAAGCAAACTAACAGTAATACTTTAAAAATTCAACAAATAAACCAAATATGGTTATTATGACTCCCTGTGAAATAGAAAGTAAAAGGCCTACCTTTATTTGAACCAACACTTTGTGCTGATGAATGATTAAAGGTTGTAAGCTATTCTTTGGTGCTGGATGTTGTAATTTATTCATGACTTGCATTTAGCTGTATGACTTGTATGAGGCTCTGTAACAAGACTACAGCGTGAATGTTTCCCTAGAGAAAACACACAGTCAATATATTGGTAGTTGAGAGAGCAACTTTCTTGACCATTTCTTGAAATTGTCCCCTCGAGATACAGTGGTGCATTATTTAGGTGTCCTGTGTTATAAACATGGACTAAATAAAGATGTTTAACCTGTTAGTCATGATCCAAACTACTGAATTATTCATTGTTCCAGTGTTTCACTGAATGGTATTATGGTGTAATACTAAACTCGCTTCACAATTGTGTTGTTTTGTTCCTCAGTTTTCATGCCTGAAAATTTTTTTTTTTTTTTCAGGACTTGAAATTAATATATGCTTTTAATATATTTAAATGTATGTTTTATTCACTGAAAAATGATGGTTGTTGTGCAGAGAAATCTTTCTTGAAATGGCATTATATTAAGTACATTTACAGTTTGATTGCACAGTATAAGACATTTAACATAAACAGTGAGATTAGATTTACTCTGACATGCGAATTACGATGTTTAACCCATTATGACCAGGGTGATTACTTGTTTTCAGCATGTTTGTTGTTCATAAAATTTCTGGAAATCTGATTAAACACCCAGAGCAATACAGTTAATGCCTTTAGAGAGGCATGTTTGCGATATGTTATTAAAATATTAAAATATTTTGCAATTTTTTCATCACTTTTATTATGACAGATGCTTTAGTGTTGGAAAATATGTCTGTAATATTATTACCTGTGAGCTGGAAAGGGATTTTAACTAGACCTCAGCATCAATATTTCTATCACCGCACAATTTCTTACGTCACGTTTCACAGGCTGTTTAATACAGTATGAAAATGATCCATCACCAACAAGGGCTTGCAAAAGCACATTCTTTGATTCATAGAAGCCAACAATATTTATAATACATTGCATCAGCTGAGAATTGGGAGCATTTTGGTTCTTTGCACACGCTACTTCATCAAAGCAAAAGGATTTCAGCTGCATGCCTACAGTTCTTTTATTTTACATTCTTTATCGAGAAAACACAAATAAAATGCTTTTCTTTGTTTGTTTAATTAGTTGGACAATAAATAATGAGTGGTAACTCACTATTCTTTCAGCTGCTAACTGCAGTTTAAATCATCATTCTTTACAAGATAGATATCCGTATTGATGCACATTCAATATTTAGTTACGGGTAAATAGATAGTAATTTAAATAAATTAACATTATTCCAATTAATTTCAACATACTTTGCTCGTGTGATTGCTTTAAACATTGTCCAAATATTAGTGCACACAATACAAACTGTGACAGAGGGGAAAATCAAATGAGTTACCAGTATTGGTAATATAAATAATAATAATTAAAATAGAATAAAATAAACTTGAAAATTTTAAAACTTGAAAACTTATAATGAACATTAAGACTATTCTGTTACAGCTAATTGAACATATTCTGGTACAGCTAACTGTTGAAAATGAAGATCATAGCAGTAATTGGTTTCTGAGAGTGTTCTGCTCATTTGAGTCCTGCTGTGACAGATGCTTGATGACTGTTCACCCTCAGTAACACCTGCATTTGATCTTTTTCTGACGGTTTTCTGACATGTGAAATGAAGTGGGAAAGTTTTTCAAAGTAGTTCATTCTTGTATAATGAAATGTATGGCAGTAGGAGAACGTGTGCTCTCTGTATCAACCTCACTGACCCTTTCTTCCTTTTGAAGCCGTGCTTGTCAGTTTCTGTTTTTTTTTCAGTGGCCAGACTGTGATCACCTCTATTTAGTGAGGATCTGTCTCTGCTTTGTGCAGTATCTTTGATAGTGAACAGATATTTTACCCTTCTATTTGAAGTCATTACAATCCAGTTTACCACGATCTGTACTTTTATTGTCCTAAAATCTATTTTACAAGTTATATATTTTATATATTTTACAAGTTAAGTATATATATATATTATAACTTGTAAAATAGATTTTACTTCTGCCGAAGTAGTTTGTCCTCATAATGAATCTAATAACAAGTAAAGTTTTTAATGTGTATTCGTTATTTTCATTGAGCACTAGAGGGCATTATTTGTTTACTTATCGTCAACATCGAGTCTACCCTTAGTTCTTTTATTGCATATTTAGTTCATTTTACAAGGTCAGATTAATAATGTTTCAAACGCTCAACAATACCTAATTTAAAAGACAAAGATATTACAGAGCCTCCTTTATACATAAAGAACATAATGAGATTTTGTCTGACCCTTAATAATGGTTGATTTGAGCAAAGGAACTGACAGTTCCGAACTGCATTCAAATCATCCAAATTTTAATTTCCAATTTTTTTTAGCCTCCCCAAACGCTATTAAATGGGTGAAAAGCAAATACAGTCGAGATCTGATATCCGGCTCATAATTCCATAAAACGTATAATTATGAAATTGCAAACATGAGAAGCGAGACATGCCAGCAGAGGAAGATAACACAACACCGCTGTACTCGTCAGAACTGAAGCCATCTCTTGCAATGTCTTTATCAGTCCTCAGAGGAGGGAAGCAGTTAGTGAGAGACTGAGTGAGTCATTAAGTCTGCAATAATCAGCTGCTCACTTCTTTAATTATTTATGCTGTGTAATTACGCTTCTGTGGAGCTGGTGGAGGAGTCTGGCAAAATGAAGAAGTGCTTGTTTTTCAAATAAATGCTCATTGGATGATGGAAACTCAATTTAGTGATGGAGAGGATGTTGCTTGACGTGACACTTGTGTGGTGGGTTAATGAACAGCTTCCTTGAGTCACTTAGAGAGATACTTAAGTTGCAGTCCATCTAAAGGCTGCTCGGCTGACTCTCATTATTCTGTCCCCTTTGTATCTTGCAGATCATCTTCCCTCTGTGACAAGCCACCCAAACCAGTCCTGATTTCTCCCTGGTTGCTGTGAAGATGACAGAAACCTTGCTTTCAGAAGAGGCATCTGAGGCTCACTGGTTCTGTCTGAGAGAATATCGTATGGACTGAGCATTTACAGCATTGCACTACTGTTTTACTCAAAGTGTTTATTTATTAAGAAGTTTATGAATACGCCACAGACTATACAAGATAGACATTTTTATGTAACTTCTCCCTCATCCACAGGAGTTGCCTGGTCAGAGAACCTCTGTTGTTGTTTAGTAATTTAATGCAAGGGAAACTTGCATATTATATATATAAACAAACACACATTAATATTTACAATATAAAATTGAAATATTGTATAAATTTATATATGCATGTGTTACTTACAGTGAGGGAAATATTTATTTGATCCTCTGCTGATTTTGTAAGTTTTCCCACTTACAAAGAAATGAAGGGTCTGTAATTTTTATGTAATTTTTATGGTAGGTTTTTTTTAACGGATAGAGACAGAATATCAACCAAAAAATCCAGAAAAAACACATTATATAAAGGCTAGAAATTGATTTGCATTTCAGTGAGTGAAATAAGTATTTGATCTATGTTTAAAGGCACTATATAAATATTTGTAAATTTAGTTATTTATGTGTGTATGCGTGTGTGTGTGTGTGTGTGTTTGTGTGTGTGTGTATGTGCATATATATATATATATATATATATATATATTTCTATGAGATGCGTGTGTGTGTGTGTGTGTGTTTGTGTGTGTGTGTATGTGCATATATATATATATATATAT